CTTTGAAATACCCCAAAAAGCATAAAAAAAAACAGTTTTGAAAGATCCTAAAGGTTTGAAAAGACCCCAAAGCTGCTTTGAAAGACCCCAAATGGTTTGCAAAGACCCCAAATGGCTTTGAAATATCCCAAAAGGGTTGCAAAGACCCCAAATCTGCTTTGAAAGACACCAAAAGGTTTGCAAAGACCCTAAAACAGCTCTGAAGGACCCCAAAAGGTGTACAAAGACCCCAAAGCTGCTCTGAAAGGCCCTGCATGGCTGGCAAGGGATCCCAAAGTGTTGCAAATTCCTGGGGAAGCTTCAGGAGGCTGCAAAGGGTCTGAAGGGATTTTGAGGAGCCCCAAAGGCTCCTGGGCGCTTTGGAAGATTCCCCGTGGCTCCCAAACCCCAAACCTGGCTGCCAACCCCCCCCCTCCACACTTCGGCCCCAAAGGGCTCTCCTGGCCCCTTTCCCACCCAGCCCTGCTGCACTGTTTCCATTTGGCCCCAAAATTTTCCCCTTTTTTTCTGCTTTGTTCTAAGCCTGGTTCCCAAAATCCCCTCGGGACACCCCAAAAATCCCCATTTTCCCTGGGGCTTCAATCGCACCTCTGTCAGCAGGTGATGCCGGCTGCTGTGGGATCTCAGCTTCCCTTCTGCCTGGCAAATTCCAGAGGTTTTAYCCTGGAATTGGGGRAAAAATGGGGATTTTAGCAATTCCAGTAGTGCCACACCAACAGGAGATCAACACATCCCTACATGGAGTTATAGGGCAAATTCCAGCTCCAAATCCCATGGATTGGAGAAATCCCAAGAGGTGCAAAAATCTTGGGGTCTTCACGAGGTGGAAGAGATTTGGGGTTGGGTTTTGTGGGGTTTTTGTAAGAAGAGGAGGATTTAAAGAACTTTTGTGCTCYTCCCCGGGACCTGCAATCCTGCAGGAATCGGGAGGTGGAAATGATCTCAAAGAAGCCGTTTTTAGCTCATTTTCCTCCCACCAGGTGAGTTCACTCCTCCATTCCCCAGCTCCCAGCAGAGCCCGAGCAATTCCCATTCCTGGCTCTGTTTTGGGGTAAAAAGAGGGAAAATTAATCGCAGGCGGTGCCGGAGAACAGAACCCATGGGTGCAACTTATTTGTGGTTTGTGTTTCTCTCTTTTCTCTGCTGTTTTAAAACAATTTCTCTCACCGGTTCCTGTTCCACCAGCGTTTCTCAGTCCTGGTGGGTTAAACAAAAAGGGGATAAAGAAATAAATTGTGATTTTTTTTTCCAGAAGATGGAATATTTTCCGGCTGCCAGCAGGGGTGGGATGTCAAACTGGGGGCCATTTCACTTAAATCCCYATTTTCGGGATGTCCCTTTTATCCTTCAGGGACATTTGTCACCTTTGAGAGCTCCTCCCCAAATCTCTTCTTTTTTCGGGGGCCAAACTGCTCCTTTTTTGGGTTCAGCAAAGCCTTTGCCCGCATTCCCTCAGGTCATGGTTACAAATGACCAACCCAGGATCTTCTTCGACAGAAAAACGGGATTTGGGACATTCTGCACACCCCGGACACGRAGGGAGCCGAGGGCTGGGAAAGAARAGCCCGAAAGGGATAAAAACCGGGAACGTGCACCCCAACCCTGCTACTGCTACCGCTCGCTAATTGCTTGTGGCTTCAAAATCTGGGGCAGAAGTTTGGGCTGGAAAATGAATATTTAGTTGGGTGTTAATAAGTGATGCAAAGATGATTCCCTGCGTGGGCGGGAACTGCTCCCGACGCGCTCCGGAGCAGCCTGAGGGGACAAAACCACCTCGGATTCCCTTCAGCAGCAACTGCTTCCCAGTTTCCCTTTAAAAATAAACGGGGGAGGAAAAAAAAGGACAGTTTTGCTCTTGCCCGAGGGCTGGGAAAGCAGGAGCGGCGGAGATTTTCCCGAGAGAGCGGCGGGACAAAGGGCGGCCGAGCCCCGAAACGCCGCAAAACCGCGCTGGCGATCCCAGTT